GCCTGTACCCCAGTTCTGTATGCATAAATAAATAAATATTAAAAAAAAAACCTGTTAAAATGTGAATTTCATTTAAGGATCTCAGCCATGTGGCTTCTGGGGAGTCAGTGGATGAAGATGTTCCTCCTCCATCAGTGTCATTACCAAAGTTGGCAGCACTTCTCCGGGTATTCAGTACTGTGGTGAGGAGCATTGGGGAACGCTTCAGCCCAATCCGTGGTCCTCCAATTACTGAGGCTTATGTAACAGATGTAAGTATCTTTAGGAGTTTCAGGTATCATTCAAAACTAAAATAATTTGGTATTGTAAATGTGTCTTTAGCTAGTGAACTGTGTTTTTAGTCCTTTGTTGAGCATGCATTCATGCACATATGTATGTATACATCTGGTTACTTTCTTAAAAAACCAGAAAAGTAGGGAATCTTACTATATCCTATTCATTCCCCTCCTAGTTACTGGCATCCCACCACACCCCCACCTCCAGGGTAGAAAAGACACCTCTAAAAAAATGTCCTTTCTTGGGAGATACTTCATTAGTATTTTTTTGTTTTTTTATATGTAACTTTAAAAACTTAGTATTTCATTTTATAATATTAGTTATAATTTTTCTTGAAAAATTTTCAGTTTTTTTTATAAAGCATTTTAAGAACAACACCCTAAAGGAAAAGTGTCTATAAATATTTTTTTCTGAGCACAACAATATGAAACAGTTTGATAGCCTGGCATCAAAAGATATAGAGACAATTAAAACTTGATATGTAGTAGTCTGAGACATCAGTTATAAGTTGTAACTAGATTGCCACACTTCAGCAGCTGCAGATATTAGCTTCCCTGATTTATATCCAGGGACAGGGCCTGTGTAAATAGACAAAGAAGGGAATGTCCATCATTAAATCTACTTGAATAAAAAGAAACGTGCATAATACAGTCATTAACAAATTTAATGAATTATATTAATAGTTATATTATAAATTTTATATTTATATAAAAATTAGTTTTTAATGAGCATTTGCTTTTGTTGTGCATGTTGGTAGATAAGCTGGGATATTTATTAGATATGTAATTCGTCATAAGTTAATTGTGTGTTTGAGCAGAAATGTCAGCTTCCAAAGATAATTAACACCAACTTATATTTTAAACCTCATCAAAAGGTCTTAATATTTTTATTTAGCATTTACTAGTTAAATACTGGTATAATGATGGTCAAAGTTGAAATAAAGACAGTTAACTCAAATGTAAAAGAGGAGAACATAGTCATTTTCTTAAGATAATTATATATTTCTTGTACTCTTAGGGCTTTTAAAACTGTATGTAGGTTTTTCAAAACCTCTTTGTAGTGTTTATTGAATATTTAGAAAAAATTAATTTTTCTCTATCAGTTCTGTTTTTTCCCAGTTATTTTTACTGGAAATGTAGTGCATTAACAATGATTATTATAGTTTAATGGGGGTGTTTTTCTTGTTGTTGGAAATTATGTGACTTTCATAATTTGCAAAGAAGAGTCTCTTGTATGGTAATGAGAATACTTGCCTTTACAAAGAAAACATCAGTTCATGAATTTCCATAGGCTAAAGGTCACTTAGATGCTTAGTTTTTAAAAGGTTGGATGCCAAAAGCCTCATATCTTAGATTGTAGAAAGTTACTCTCATGGCAAGTTATTCCAATGCTATTAATATCCTTTTAATATTTTTTAAGTTCTGGTATATTTCATGATTACAAAGATTAGGTATAAGGGAAATAGAGGACAGTAAATTTCATCACAGTAGTTTGGCAAGGTCATTTTTGTGCATTATATGAAAGATACCCTTTATGTTATTCATTCCCTGAGAACTAGACTGTTAGACAACTGACAAGCAAGCAGTTAATTTGTAGTTAAAAATGAATTAAATAGAAAGTATTTTTGTTTCTATTCTGTGGAAGCATGTGAAATATTTAAAAAGCCGCTTGTTTTCCCTATTTGCAGGTTCTGTACAGAGTAATGAGATGTGTGACGGCTGCAAACCAAGTGTTTTTTTCTGAGGCTGTGTTGACAGCTGCTAATGAGTGTGTTGGTGTTTTGCTCGGCAGCTTGGATCCTAGCATGACTATACATTGTGACATGGTCATTACATATGGATTAGATCAACTGGAGAACTGCCAGACTTGTGGTACAGATTATACCATCTCAGTCTTGAATTTACTCACATTGGTATGTGACGTTTTTGTTGTTGCTTTTGAATAACTTTGTTTATTCAGGCCCTTAAATTAAAAATGACATGAAAGAAATCAAGGCCTTGGTGGTTGGTGGTTATAGTTTTTGTTGTTTTTTTTTTAACAAGACTGTTAATTATAGTCTTATTTATATAATTAATTTACTTTTGTTATAGTATCTATTAACTTTCAGGATTTTGTGGCTCATCTCACTGTCCTTGTGTTTGTTTTGTTGGAGGTAGCATCATTCTTCACAGTACCTGCAAGTACCTTATATAATATCTGACAAATACTTTATAAGAGACAGTATCACATGTTTTTGTTTTCCATATGAAACTACTTTTATAGTTTTTACTACTCATAATCTGTTTCCTCTCTCTCCCTTTTATTTGGGACTTCTGGAGAGCATCTCAGAAAAAAATAGTGTAGTGAATCTCTGCATACTTTGTACTCAGTTTCTGTGATCAGAAACACATGGCCCATCTGGTGTCATCTAGGCCTCCAGCTCTGCCGCCTCCATGCTGTCCTCCACCCCCAACTGAATTATTTCAAAGCAAATTCTAGATGTCATTCTGGTGAACATTTGTGCCAGTGTTACTTTTTGCCAGTGTAAAAACCTGTCCTTGTTTAGGTATAATTTATCTAAATAATTTAACATCACAATGTAAAGACCTTACTATTTAGCTAAATAAATAATTCAGTTCATTTAACTGAACATGTGTTGATTGTCATGCTGTGTGTACCTTGATCTGTTAATGTGCTAGATAATCTTTTATATTTATTACTTGTTTTTATTAAATTTGTTGAGATTTCATTTAAGATTTCATATACACATGCATTTATGTATTTAATAAACTACTTATTTTCAGAGCAATTTTAAGGTTTACTGAAAAATTATGCAGAAACTAGAGTTCCCATAAACTCCTCTCAATAGGTTCCCCTGTTCTTGACACCTTGCATTCGTGTGGCTCATTTATTAGTTATTGAAGCAAAATGGTATTTTTGATTGCATTGACATTGGCTTCCATTATTATTTGTGTTTTAGAGTAAAGGCTCTCCCCTTCTAGGTGTTGTTTCTACACCAGCCCTCTGCCAGACCATCCCATAGTCCCTACCATTAACTGAAGTCCACCATTTACTTGAATATTCAGTCTGTATTGTATATTTTATGTTTTGACAACCCATGCATAATGCTAAATATTCATTATCACAGTATCATAAGAATTATTACCCTAGGAATCCCTAGTGTCTCACCTATTTTTCTCTCCTCTTCCCTCAAACTTCTGGCAACCATTGTTCTTTTTATTGTCCCCATAGTTTTGCTTTTTCTGTAGTATCATGTAGTTGGAATTATATTGTATATAGCCTTATCAGAGCAAACCACTATTTCACTTTTCACGTTGTTCATTTAAGTTTCTTTCATGCTCTTTTAGGACTTAATAGTTCATTTATTTTCATTTTATAATTTTATTCTTCTAGATTGTTGAACAAATAAATACAAAACTACCATCATCATTTGTGGAAAAATTGTTTATACCATCATCTAAACTACTATTTTTGCGTTACCATAAAGAAAAAGAGGTAAGTGATAGATTGATGATGACTTGATATAACTTAGGTCATTGTAGAATTTGATTTATGTTATTTGGTAAATTACATAAATGAAGTTGACTAAAATGATAAATACTTGATGTATAAGATAATGACTAATGTTTCATTTAACTGAACATGTGTTGATTGTCATGCTGTGTGTACCTTGATCTGTAATATGCTAGATAATCTTTTATATTTATTGCTTGTTTTTATTAAATTTGTTAAGATTTCATTTAAAAAATTAGACATATTTATGATAATAAATTCAGAAGAAGTGTGTATATTATAAGTAGACTCTATTAGCTTGTCAACAGACTCTTGGTCAAAACTACCATATACTTTCTAAAATGTAGGAGACCAGTCTTAATAAGCTGTTTGTGTACTTAGCTTGGCACCAGCTGTTTTTAAAAAATTATCTAGTAAGAAATTTCATATTGCCATTTTAAAGCTTTTTAGCTTTATTAAAATAACGCTTTTTAGTTTTATTAAAATAAAACTTATCACTATGTGTAGGTGCCTTAAGATTGATTGGTTTCTTGAAAATAAAGGTGTTTGATGTTCTGTAATGTGAATTTTTCAATATTAAAATGAATTTACATCATTACCACCATTGTGCAGATAGTAATTTATCTTCTACTTAATTGTTTCTGTATTTTCTACTTAATTATTTCTGAATTTTCTTTTTAAGGTTGTTGCTGTAGCTCATGCTGTTTATCAAGCAGTGCTCAGCCTGAAGAATATTCCTGTTTTGGAGACTGCCTATAAGTTAATTTTGGGAGAAATGACTTGTGCCCTAAACAGTCTGCTACACAGTCTACAACTTCCTGATGCCTGTTCTGAAATAAAACATGAGGCTTTTAAGAATCATGTGTTCAATGTAGACAATGCAAAATTTGTAGTTATATTTGACCTCAGTGCTCTGACTACAATTGGAAATGCCAAAAACTCGTTGATTGGGGTGAGTGTCATAATAGCTTATTTTATCCTCAGGGTAAACTTCTTTGCATGTTTATGTAGCTCATTTATTAACATACAGTGGATCTACAGACAAATAACCTTAATAAGGACTTGTCTGAATAATTAAAATTGACAGGTTTTGTTTTGCCATTGTGTTTAGCTCTTTTTCCTTTAACAGGTTTCTTACTTGTTCTAGTTTTTAGAAAGCTATTACTCTAGCATGCTCATAGGAAATTGGTTAATATTTCCCACAGCCACACTTTGTCTAGTTCCTTTAACTCTGTAGCTTCTTCCTCCTGGGTGCTCCCTTCTCTCCAGTATAGTTAGAGCTTACATATCGTTTTACTCTGAGTGCTACTTTTCCCTATGAGTATGTACATGTTCTTTTGGAAAAGAATTTATAAAGATATCTTAAGGAAATGTAATCTTTAGGTTTTTAATTATTGCTGTGGTTTATTTTTCCCCCTACTGCATTGGACTTTGTAGTACTGAGACATTTTATTTAGTTTTTTAAAGATTGATTTACTTATGCGTACAGAGCTGGGGTACAGGCCAGAGGTGCGTAGATGGTGAGAGGATTCACCAGAGACAGAGTGGGGAGCAGAACAGGCAGGTTAACTGAAATGCACTACTGAGGGAGTAGCAGGCGGGTCAGGAGAAGCCTGCCACACCATGTGGATCACCTCCGTGGCTGGGATCAAACTCATGCTGAAGTGACTTTAGCTTCTTAGTGATGCTGTGCTGTTTTAGCTACCAGGGAGGGCCGTATTGAGACATTGTAAATAAAATTAAAGGGATGTAATTAAGGAACAAAGTTTTCTAAGAGAGAAGGAAAACATCATAACTTGGTGAATGTTGTCAGGTTGTAGCAAATTCTTTGTTTTTTAACATTTGAACAGCAGGGGGATGGAACAGCAGGGAAGGGGAGTACCTTAGTAAAGAAGGGAGGACATATCTTTGTTGTTAGAGAACAAGGCAACTTGTCATTTGTAGTCCATGCATAATTGTGGAGATATAATCTTCTATGTTAAGGGTAAAATTTGTGAAATTCAGCCTATGACCTTATGTCTTTTAAAATAAAACTTTACTGAGATAATATATTTATCACTAAAGTTATTGTATACAGTTTGATGATTTACATAGTATTCACAGCAAGTGCAACCATCATCAAATGTCTCCTGGTTTTTTTTTTTTAATACTTATTTATTGACATAAAACTGGGGTACAAGCCAGAGGTGAAGTACAGTGCTGAGGGGAGCAGCGGGTGGGAAAAGGAGAGGTCTGCCTTGCCATGTGGATCACCTTTGGGGCAGAGGATCGAACTCGAACTGAAGCTGCTATGGCTAGCTTGCAGTGCTGCATCCTAATCCTTTGCGCCACCAGGGAGGGCCCATCTCCTGTTTGTTAAAGGCAATTTTATTGGAACACAGCCACTTACTCATAGGACTGTTATGTCACTGCAGTTGTAGAATTGAGGACTTTATAGCCCACAAGGTGCAAGATACTTATTCTCTTATCTTCAGAGAAGCTGTGTGTTGACCCTAGGTTTAGTGTAGTAGATCATTTCCAAGTTTGAATAGTTTTCTAATATGTGTAAATATGTAAACATACTAATTTTGGAAGAAAAGCTTTTGGTGTGCTTATATATGACTAGGAGGAGGCAAACATTAATTTTTTTTTTTTTAAATGTTAACAGATGTGGGCACTTTCACCAACTGTCTTTGCCCTCCTGAGTAAGAACCTGATGGTTGTTCATAGTGACCTGGCTGTCCACTTCCCGGCTATTCAGTATGCAGTGCTCTACACATTGTACTCCCATTGCACAAGGTACTGTCTTTACATGTACAATGGAAGAAAAGTTTCTTTTAAAAGAGAAAGATGGGTGCTTTAAAGTCTAGATTTTAAAAAATACACTGATTTCACTTTAGAATTGCATTTGTCTTCTTAGTTGAGGGTGGAAAGATGATCTGTATTCTGTCTTCCAGGCATGATCACTTTATATCCAGTAGTCTTAGTTCTTCATCCCCGTCTTTGTTTGATGGAGCCGTGATTAGTACTGTAACTACAGCTACAAAAAAACATTTCTCTATTATATTAAATCTCCTGGGAATATTGCTTAAGAAAGATAATCTTAACCAGGACACAAGGTAACTAATTTTTTTATAATATTAACTGTTACTAATTTTTATTCATTTGGTTTGTTAATTTGAGAATAAGAGTTTTAAAGTTATTTTTGTTTTTAATATAAAATCAACTACATATTTTGTGTTTCAGGAAACTGTTAATGACTTGGGCTTTGGAAGTGGCTGTTTTAATGAAGAAATCTGAAACATACGCACCTCTGTTTGCTCTTCCATCTTTCCATAAATTTTGTAAAGGCCTTTTAGCTAACAGTAAGATTCTGTGATTATTTAATTTTGTTTTTTTGTTAACACTTACTAGATCTTTGGGGAGAAAGAGCATTCTTGATGACCTAGAATATATAGTCAACATTTTAATAACAGATGCATAAAAAAAATCTCTCTTAAATTTTTTTCTGGTAGTATGAAAAAAATGTTAATTTAACGTGATTATATTTAAAGTAAGCTTGGAGGAATTTTTTTAATATGTGCCATAAACTTTAAACAAATACCCTCACCTCAGACAAAGGTTTGATTGAGGACCAGTCGGTTTCAGTGGATTTTGCTAGATGTATTATTTTCCCAAATTTTATTGCCAGTAAAAATTCTAGGCAGAAATAATTCCTCGTCACTCATTGCTTGTTTAATAAATCAGTGGGTTCAGAAATTATAGTGCACTGGCTTATAGTTTAACCAGTCATCTTAGCAGTAGAAGGGAGCTTCTGCTTTCACTAAAAACTAAAAATAGCTTTGGTACACTGAAAGTAACATTTAATTTTCTAATAGCTCTTGTCGAAGATGTGAATGTCTGCCTACAGGCGTGTAGCAGTCTACATGCTTTGTCCTCTTCCTTACCAGATGACCTTTTACAAAGGTATGTTTGAAAGAGCCTACCTTTTGACACTGACCCTCGTTAGTTGGGTATATTACCACACACCACAATTGTATCACCTATTTCATTTTTTGTAGATGTGTTGATGTTTGCCGTGTTCAACTAGTCCATAGTGGAACTCGTATTCGACAAGCATTTGGGAAGCTTTTGAAGTCAATTCCTTTAGATGTTGTCCTAAGGTATAGTAATTGTTTTGGGGCGAAGATAGCCCACCATAGTGTTACTGCCTCCTTTAGGTCAGGAAAAGGCAAAATACCTGTTAGTCAATGTAGCATCTTGTGTGCTGCTTCTCTCATTAAAGAGAAGTCAAAGGATCAAATTATGTGTGTCCAAGGAAATAACAGAAGTTCTTTTTCTGTACTATATTATCTCATCGTCATCAGTATGTGATAGTTCATACAGTGATAGTTCATTCAGTGCCAAATGTGTTCAATTACTTAAAAACCTTAACTATAATATTTTATTGGTTTTGATGAATTTGGAAGCCATGAGTACTTAAAATTTTATTTTTTTTAACTTCTGAATATCATTAACAAGTACATAACCCACTTTTGTGTATTAACCCTTGAACTAAAACTTTTTGAGTAATAATGACTTTATTTTCTGTCTACAGCAATAATAATCACACAGAAATTCAGGAAATTTCTTTAGCATTAAGAAGCCACATGAGTAAAGCACCAAGTAACACATTCCACCCCCAAGATTTCTCTGATGTTATTAGTTTTATTTTATATGGAAACTCTCATAGAACAGGGTAAGACATTTCTTTCATTCTTTTATCTGGAAAAGTAATTTAAATACAATTGAATATCTTGACTTTATACTTAGTTTTGAGAGAAAATGTATTGGGGTAGTGTAAAAGGTAGAATTTTTCTCAAGTGGATTATTTTACTTTATAGTATTTGGAAGGATTGCTTTGAAGATAGCATCTGAGGAAACAAACATGCTTTGAAATTGAGTGATAAAATGTGCTTGACAGTTAACTGATCTGATCTGGTTATCAGTGCTCTTGGATAGGGGCCGCAGACACACAAATTTTGGAGAGGCTTAGTTGTCATTAATGTTTTATCCTGATAGCAGATTGTCCTGAGCCACTTAACCCTAACAATGTATGCACACAGAGCACATCACAGTGAGAAGTGGGGATAGACTGCTTTCCAGCTTAACAGTTTTTGTGTTTTGTGGGTTGGAAAAATTATAGCTCCTTATTCTCATTCTTCTGGAAAATTTTTTTTGTTATTATTAAAAAGAAATTGTCATTATCTGTTAAATATGAAATTACTTTTCCCAGGAAGGACAATTGGTTAGAAAGATTGTTCTATAGCTGCCAGAGACTGGATAAGCGTGACCAATCAGCCATTCCCCGCAATCTTCTGAAGACTGATGCCGTTCTCTGGCAGTGGGCTATTTGGGAAGCAGCACAGTTCACGGTCCTTTCTAAGTTGAGAACCCCACTGGGCAGAGCTCAAGATACTTTCCAGACAATAGAAGGTAATTAATTTTGTGCTTTTTCAAAGTTTGTAATGTAAATAGCTTCAAACTTTACAATAAGTAGTGTGGATTTCTGTGTTAAAACAAATACTTGAAGTCTTTCTTTAATACCTTATTATTTCATCTTATAGATAAGTTTATTTGAATAAACTTTCTCTGAATTAATTGTGTTGGAAATAGGGTGGTTGTCCAATTTTGTTCAGATGTCTAATTGTCTCTACTAAAGGCAAAGAACTTTCATGTTGAGAGTTCTGTCTTTAAATGCTTGATATATAAGAGGATACTAAGTAATGTGAATTTGTGAAATTGTCTCCAAGAAAAACTAAATTTTTAAAGATTTATTTTAAGTTTAGCACATTGTCTTTGCTTTTAGGCATCATTAGAAGTCTTGCAGCTCACACATTAAACCCTGATCAGGATGTTAGTCAATGGACAACTGCAGACAACGATGAAGGGCACAGTAGCAACCAACTCAGACTTGTTCTTCTTCTGCAGTATCTAGAAAATTTGGAGAAGTTAATGTATAATGCATATGAGGGATGTGCTAATGCATTGACGTCACCTCCCAAGGTTGGTTTCAGTGGTCCAAGTGTGACTTTGTAACCAGGTGTATGGTCAAACCTGGCAATGTGTGCAAGAGGTGTGATGACAGCAGACTTGTCGCTTGTTTTATGTGTATTTGAGACATTTGTACTAGAATACGGATCCATTCTGAGCGTCTTTCTCTTTATTCCAAAGGTCATTCGGACTTTCTTCTATACCAATCGCCAAACCTGTCAAGACTGGCTGACTCGAATCCGACTCTCTATCATGAGAGTTGGATTGTTGGCAGGTCAGCCTGCTGTGACAGTGAGACATGGCTTTGACTTGCTTACAGAAATGAAGACAAACCTAGCTCAGGTAAAGTGTAGTGTTATAGCTAATTCTGTCAGTTGCTTTTTTGTAGTTAACATTAAATACAACTTTTCAAGGTTCCTAAGCTAAATATTACAATATTGTAAAATAATGAACTCCATTTGACTTGAAACAGGCTTGGATTATGATCAATAGTGGTAAATTTAGAGATTTGAATTTGATATTGAGACCCATGATTAATTTTAATTTTGTAATTCCCAGGGAAATGAATTAGAAGTAACCATCATGATGGTGGTAGAAGCACTGTGTGAGCTTCATTGTCCTGAAGCTATACAGGGAATTGCTGTCTGGTCATCTTCAGTTATTGGAAAAAGTCTTCTGTGGATTAACTCGGTGGCTCAACAGGCTGAAGGGAGGTAAGCTGGAAGGGAAGGAAATGGGTGATAGGATTTTTTTATGTTTAAATATTTGGTATTGACAATTAATACATAGTTAAGAGTTAACTCTTTTTAGTTTCACTAGTTAAAGGTTTCTGAAACCACTTGGCTAGGGGGCACTTTAAATCTGTTCTTTAATTAGCAGTAAAACTGGGGTGTCTAATTTTTTTTTTTAAAGTTATTTATTTGTGCATATAGAACAGGAGTGCAGGCCAGAGGCTCAGGGGCGGTGAGAGGCTTCACCAGAGACAAGAGTGGGGAACAGAACAGGCAGATTGATGAAGTACTGAGGGGAGCAACGGGAGGTGACCACACCATGTGGTCACCTCCGGGGCAGGCGGGAATCGAACTCATGGGGAAACAGCTTTAGATTCTCAGTGCTGTGCTTTAACCCGCTGCGGCACCAGGGAGGGCCTGGGGTGTCTAATTTATGATTAGTAGACTATCGGTCATAAAGTGCTGCCAGTTACTTGTTTTATAAATAACTTTTGAAACTTGATCATTAGTAGATAACCTTCGACACCAGAGTCTGGTACAAATTACACTTGTGGCTCATTAGTTCTTCACATGCTACATTCAAACTCATTTGATTCTTTTAGACAAATATGCATGTACCACTACAGTCTATGTTTACTTTTCTGGGTGAAGCTCAAGATAACTTTCCAGACAATTTTTACCTAGTCTGAAATTGTAGGAAAAATAAAAGAACTGCTTATAATGCCACCTTCTAGTGATAACTTTTGACATCTGTGTGGTTCTGCTGTATTTGATTCGTTCAGTTTCCTACCTCCCTTTTCACAAAAATTGCAATTTTGCGTTTTTGTATGGTTTTGCTCTTTCCAGTCAGCAAAATTTAAAAAAGAAAAAAAAATGTTTTTCCGTTAAATATCCTACAGTGTGATTGTAAATTACACAGTTATGCTAATTTTTGAGTGTACTATAATTTAACATCCTTGTCGTTGGGTTGTAAGATTGTTCCTGATATTTTTCACTGATCTTAACACAATGACACCTAATTATTTCTTCACAGTTGTGATTACTTTTCTTTGAAAACTGTTATCTGCAAAATGATTTCGTGGAAGAAAGGCTGTAAGCTATAACTTAAAACACATATTGCTCAGCTACAATACAAAAAAGATGGGTCCCCATTTATACTCCTAGAAGTAGAGTCGCTGTCCCTTCGGCTTTGAGTGCATACAGAGTGTTGCTGAGAAATGAGAACCCTGTTACCACCATCGGGGAAGAACATTTTTGTTTTAACTTATATTTCTTTACTAATGAAATAGAACTTTCCCTATGGATTACATTGATCGGAAGCATAGATTATATGTTCATGGCTACTTCTTTTTATTGATATATGAGATTTTATTATCAGGATTGTTGCTAATTTCCCATTTATAACTTTGTTTTTAATGACTGTGGTGTTTCTTTGATATCTGAAAGCTTCCAAGTTTTTATACCATTAGAACTGTTACTTTATGGGCTCTCTCTGGTGCTTTAGTGGCTTAAAGCACAGCACTGTGGATCTTTGCAAAGCCACTACAGCACAAGTTCAATCCCCAGCCAGGGAGTGACCCACAGGGCACAGCAGACCTCTCCTGACCCGCCCGCTGCTCCCTCAGCAGTGTATTTCAGTCAGTCTGCCTGTTTTGCTCCCCACTCTCTCTGGGGAATCCTTTCACCCCCCTGCACCTCTGGCCTATATCCCAGTTCTTATATGCATAAATACATAAACCTTTAAAAAAAAAAAAAACTTTTTTTTTTTTGGTTTCTTCTGTGTAGCCTTTGCACACTTTGAGATTAGATGCTCTTTGTTTTTCTTTAATACTAAATGATCTTTACATTTATTTCCATTTGTTGTGAAGAAGTCTATAATTTGTGCATTCCATCCCCATGTAAAATAATTGACTCACTGGTTCAGCTCACTATTTTGAGTGATTCACTCTTCTCAAAAGTTTAGGGAGGAAATTAAATAAATGGATAGTTTAAAAACAAGACTTTGATTTTGTGTTGAAGGTTTGAAAAGGCCTCTGTAGAGTACCAGGAGCATCTGTGTGCCATGACAGGTGTTGATTGCTGCATCTCCAGCTTTGACAAATCTGTTCTCAGTTTGGCCAATGCCGGGCGCAACAGTGCCAGCCCCAAACATTCTCTGAACGGTGAGTGTTTAGTTAGTGGTTCTCTCCCCTGCCCCCCACTTTTTTTTTTACTTATGTATTTCTGTATTTATATTCTTGTATGTTTTTCATTAAAAAAATCCTTAATGTTTTATATACTTATTTTCTTAGATCTTTGTTAATCTTTTGCCTAGTGTTAGACTTCTACCCTCTGGTGTAGTCCCTGTGGTTATCCCACCACCATAGCATAGTACTTGGGCTTCCAGAAAAAAAAGGTTGTAGTTAAATAATTTATACTGCTGATCTTACTGCATATTTTTAGTTATACACTTTTTGAAATATGACTTCTGTATCTTTCTCTCTTTGTTTCATAAAATACTTACTCAGGTGAATCCAGAAAAACTGTGTTGTCCAAACCAACTGACTCTTCCCCTGAAGTTATAAATTATTTGGGAAATAAAGCCTGTGAGTGCTATATTTCAATTGCGGACTGGGCTGCTGTTCAGGAATGGCAGAATGCAATTCATGACTTGAAAAAGAGTACCAGCAGTACTTCTCTCAACCTAAAGGCTGATTTCAACTACATAAAGTAAGATTTCTTTTCAATTATAAATAATGATACATAGCTTCATTAAATGCATTTTTAGAAGCTTTAAGTCTTGCTCTTTGTCAGGAAAAGATCTACTGTTGGAAGATGCTGAAAGTTACAACAATAAGCAGTCAGTAATAGATGGGAGGGGAAGGTTCTTTTACAATGAGAAAACATCACTGTTGAGCAGTCATTTGGTGTTGATCCTCAGCCTATTCTGAAATGAAAATGAATAAGCAGATTTTTGTTACTGTTTGAATAAGGATCCCAATTAATGGTTTAATCTCTAAATTGTTTGAATGTATCAAAAACATTCCAAAGAAGGTAAGTTTGTGAACATGTGTTAATTAAACTTCCTTATCCTGCTTCTTTTGTTTGCTTTGTGCATAAATTAATCCTTTTATTCAAAATTTGAGTGCTTGCTATGCCTCAGACACTTGACTGGGGTTATGAGGCTCATTAGCACTCCCTGCATCGAGGAGCTCAGCTTTCAGTGAGTACATGGGCTAATGGCAGTTTCTCTGTTGGTGTGTGTACTGTATATGCCAGTCAGAAGGATGTAGCAGTACCTATAAGAGAGGCACAATCTGACTGTGGAACTGATCTTATAGTAAGTGAGGAGTCACATGGGCATATGTACAAGGTTGGGGAGTGCCCTGAGGATGCCATGAGAGCACAGTATTGGGGTAACAGACTTGTACAAGAGTGATCGGCTTGGAATCTGGAAATTTCTGGGAGGCCAATATGGTTGGAGCAGAGTGAATAATAGGAGATAAAGTTGGAGACAAAAATTATGAGAACTTTGACTTTAACTGATAGTAAGAGAAAGTACTAGGTGCCATTTAAACACAGGTGACATGTTATGATCTAAGTGGTTCATTCTGCTGTGGCATGCAGAGATTGGAGCTTTGGGGGGCAAAGGTAGAAACATGAAGGCCAGTAATTTGCTGAGTGGGATAGGGCAAAGTGGAGGGAGGTGATAACACATCATTAATTGAAGTAGGAACAGACAGAATAATGAGGCATGTTTAAGGTGCTTGTGAAACATGCAGATGAGATTGTTTAATATGTAGTTAAGAATTGGATTTGCAATTAAAGGAAATGTCTTAAGCTAGAGAGAGTTTTGAGGATCACTATTACATAGGGGTTAATGAAATGTCCTTTTTATTCTAATATTCCAAAGACTCTGCAAGCCATCAAATTAGAGATAAGTCTCTGGAGAAAGAGTATGTGGAAGCAAAAAAGGGCCGTGGTCAGAGTCCTTTTGAGTGTCCTTGTTAAGGAAGAGAAAAGGGGGCCTTGGAAGAAAACTCAAAAGACATGGAGGAAGTGGTAGTTGCACAGCAGAACCAGACTGGAGTAGTTGGCCATAGCAGGGACCCCAGAGACAACAAGTAACAAGAGCTTTATACGTAAGAAGTAAGCAGGTTGAATACTGTTGTGTGCTAAGAAGTAACCAGGTTGAGCACTGTTGTGTGGTAGAGGGATTTGAAAGTGACAAACTTTGGTTGGTTAACTGAGTAGTACTAGTTCTTGAAGTGAAGGAGAGGCAGTCACTGTGGTGGATGGAGAGAATGTGCTTTTTAAAAGAGACTGTATTTAATTTTCAAGAAAGGTCAAATTCTTATGGGGAAATATTCACAATTACTTTGACTAATCTTTTTTTAAAGAAAAAAATTTTTTTAAAGATCTATTCATACAGAACTGGGGTACAGGCCAGAGATGCGGAGGGTGAGAGGATTCACCAGAGACAGAGCGGGGAGCAGAACAGGCAGATCGACGAAGTACACTTCTGAGGGGAGCAGCAGGCGGGTCAGGAGAGGTCTGCCGCGCCATGTGGTCACCTCCGGGGCAGGTGGGAATCGAACTCATGCAGAAGTGGCTTTAGCTTCTCAGTGCAGTGCTTTAAACCACTGTGCCACCAGGGAGGGCCCAAATAAATAAATCTTCTAAAAAAACAAAAACAAAAAGGTTTAGTAGTAAGTTAAATAGAACACAGAATTAAAAAGAATATTACTTATAATCATGCTGATTATAAGTTCATTATGAACAAAAATACCCTTGTAAAAATATACAAGAGATTGTAAAGTGATTATGGTTTTTTATACATCAGGAATTCTTATGCCCCAAATCCTGACATATAGTTTAAGATAATCTTGCATTTTTGTAAAATCATTGATGGGCGTATTTTTCTCTCTTCCAAACTGAATTTAAATGTTCTTTAGCTGCATTATGTATTATGCTACATTTGTCAGTATTAATTCATTGCAAATATATAAATCATACTGAATAATTAGGTGATTAAAGAATGAAATGTAGGTGAACAGTATTTGTAATTATTTTTGAAAAATGTTTTATATACTTTTTTTGGTATATTTTATTTCTAATATTATTGTCTTGTATTTAGGTTCATCTAGAATCAAAGAGAAATTTACAAAATACTTACTTTGAATCTTAGAGAAATTAAGCATTCTGTTAGGCTAAAAGGGAGGAGCCACTAGAAAGCAGAGTTTTAAGAAACATGATTGAAGTGCATTGAATGAAACACTAATCAGATTCCGTGTTTTCTGTGTCGTGAGGAAAGCAGTTAAAGTGATAGACATAGAGTTTTGGGAGTGGATGCCAGATTGGGGGTGGAAAGGTAAAGGAAATTAAAGCCTGTGCTTGTTTTTCTGAGGAATTTCTCTTCAGCGGAAGGTGGTATGGGGGCATTGTAGAGCTCTGTGGGCACATAGACACTCTGCTGCTGGAGAGAACACAGATCTTGTAGTGGGAGAAATGTTAAGAAGCTGGTGCTTGCATTGATCTAGCAGGTATAGTCAAAGGTGTGTTTTTCCAGTAGTGGATTCAGGCTGAGTTGGAAGGGAGGCTACATAGTAAGAGAAACAGGACAAATGAATAATTAATAGAAAAGAGAGATTGAGAAAAACTGTAAGCCAGTGCAGAGCTAGCTGAAATCTTTCCTATAGGATAACAGGAAGAGTTTCAGAAGTGTCACCCTTTCAGATAAGGTAAGGAGATTTCTTGAAACAACAAGAGAGGGAGAAGGGAGGGGAGGCCAGTAGTGAAAGAAGAATTAGGATGTAAGGTTGAGGCACTCTGATAGGAAGGCTGGCTGCCGGGGCTTGTGCTTTCTTTAGGTGAGGAAGGAAGCTGCGGAGGGAATTTAGTGACTGCACATGGAGTAGTAGGCGTTGAAGGTACTTGGCAGAGGTCTCTTGTGGTTTGTGGGACCGGCCCTCCATATATATGGACTACAGCAGACAAAAAGAGGAAGGAGACATGGAGGGATGAGTATCTGAGCTAACACCTAGATCTGTGACTTTCCACTTTGCTGCTCGAGTTTCAGTACTAAGTAAGATGGCGCTAACCTCTTCAACTTAAAAACAAAATGGTGATCTGTGTGGAAGAAACTTCTACAAAAATCCTGTGTAACTGAACACTCTTCTTCTGGAATTTGTTCTATTTTTCAAGCGGTTCCACAGACTGGGATAGGATGTAGTGCAAGCTAACCTATGTTTTAATTACAGATCACTGAGCAGTTTTGAGTCTGGAGAATTTGTTGAATGTACTGAGCAATTAGAATTGTTACCTGGAGAAAATATCAATCTACTTGCTGGAGGATCAAAAGAAAAAATAGGTATTTGGGCAGTTCAAAAATTATTTTTTTGGGCAAGTTGTTAAAGTGGTTTGCTTAGTATATTTTCCTGGAAAACCTGAAAGTTATATAATTACTTATGGGCAGAAGTCCCTTGTGAAGCAAAAAATTTAGAGTCATTCTATTCATACTTGATTTGGAAAGTCAAATAGTTTAAAATTAACTAAGAAAAGGGAATAGTAGTACTGTGAGTTTTATCTTTTGCCATTTGTTTTGAAAAACTACAGTTAAGAGGTTTTCCCCCCTTGCTCAACAGTTTGATTTATTAATTTCCTTTTTTATCTACCCCTGGAATATTTTTTAAATGTTATACTAAACTTAGTTGTATGAGCATTTTGTATTTAGCATTGTTTGCTAGATTCATTGAAGATTTCCCATTGTGTGTCTAGATTTGCTCCTTGTTGACTAGTAGGTTGACTTACTGATTTTTGAATCCTTGAAGTCAGCTGGCTTTGTGGGTGTTTTGTGGAGTTGGGGGGGCAATTAAGATAAAATTTAGTATGAAGTAATAATTTTCATAATGCCATCAGAGATTGCTTAATTTAATAAAGCTCATCTTTCTGAACTTAAATATGAAATGAAGTATTCACTGGTAATTATTTTTTAATACTGTTAAATATCTTGTCACTTTTGTACATTAAATGAAGGTTAACTTTTAATGGTCTTTTTTTTGTTTGTTTACCATTTTTAATGGTTTTTTAAACTTTGTAGATATGAAAAAACTGCTCCCTAACATGTTAAGCCCAGATCCCAGGGAACTTCAGAAATCCATTGAAGTTCAGTTATTGAGAAGTTCTGTTTGTTTGGCAACTGCTTTAAACCATATAGAACAAGATCAGAAGTGGCAGTCTATAACTGAGTAAGTTTAATTCTCAGGAGGTGAATGTGTATTACGTGTACCATATGATAAATGTATGTGCTTCGTGTACATGATTGTGTACATACATGTGGGGTGAGGTTGTTAACAGCTCTGTATTACTTAAGATAACTTCATTTTAATTGTTGAAGTTGTGTATGTGAATACAACACTGCTAACATATACTGAGGTTAAAAGTAAATGAAATGTGACTTGCTTTTTCATTTTCAGTAAAGAACAGGCTATTCCTAACATCTTATTAAAGTCATTCATCCCTTCAGTGGCTACAAATAAAAAAATCTCACTTATTAACAATAAATATTTCGTTTCAGAAATGTGGTAAAATACTTGAAGCAAACCTCCCGCATAGCTATTGGACCCCTGAGACTTTCAACTTTGACGGTTTCACAGTCCCTGCCGGTGTTGAGCACCTTACAGCTGTATTGCTCTTCTGCTCTGGAGAACACAGTCTCTAACAGACTTTCAACAGAGGTGTGTAGATTGCGTCTTTACCAGGATATTTTTTCTTAACATTAATAAGCTTTAGTTTATAACCAAACCTTAATTTTTAAGTTTTAAAATAGCATTTGTTGGACTTACTGGGAAATCCAGAAATTGGATATGCCTTTTATAAGCAAATGCCATTTGGGTGATATGTGAAGCACATGAAAGAAAGAATAGATATTGTCTCAAGCATAACTAATTGCTCTTTTGTTCCTCC